CTCTATATATATATATATGAGATAATGAAACCTATCGTTTGTAACATATGATATGTCATACACCTTAAAGTTCATAAGACAAAAAGAGATTTTTGAGAATCTTATGTTCTCTCTCTCTCTCTCTCTATATATATATATATATCTATAAACAAGCTGTTGTTTCTAGTCTAACTGACAGTGTTCCTCCAGATAAATGTTGATTTGTTTTCTGCTCATCCAACCCCTTCTGTTGTTCCTACAACAATGGATTTTTTCTCGGCACCCCATCCGCCTTCCGACCTTGACAACAAAGCCTCGATCTCTGAGGTGACTAATAATGTTGATCCATTTGCCAATGTTCCACTCAACAGCTTTGATGGATCCGATGCATTTGGAGCCTTTACTTCTCATACGGATCCTTCATCAGCAACTGCAGTGGATTCAAATTCTTCTACCAATGTAAGCGATGGAAACTTGAAGGACTCTTCAACTGAAACCAAGGCCCCACCCAAGAGCGGTTTTCAAGTCAAATCTGGAATATGGGCGGATTCTTTGAGCCGTGGACTGATTGACCTTAATATAACTGCACGTAAGTGGATGCATTAGAATGCTATTTTTGTCCTTCAAAATAAAATTAATTTCAGTTTAACGTCAAGCATTAAATGTCGTTCGTGACGTTTATAACTTTCGATTTTGAAAAGCAATTGGTGAATACATGGGTCATCAAAAAAGTAATCTCCCCGTCTTACTATCCGTGACGGTATATTAATAATCTACGGAGCCCTGATTACTTTGAAGTTTGAATTTTGAAATGAAAAGTCTCATATTTTGGGAGATTTGAGTTGTTTATGGTGATTTTAATTTGTGGTGCAGCAAAGAAGGTTAACCTAGCAGATGTAGGTATCGTTGGCGGACTGACTGATGGGTCAGACGAGAAAGACAAGGGACCTTTGCCTTCGTTTTACACAGGAAATAACAGTATGGGTATTGGGTCTGGAATTGGTAAGTCAGGTTTCACATCAACAACGAACGACGACTTCTTTTCAAACCTAAGCAGCTCACAATACCAATATGGAAGCTTTCAGAAGTAATATTTTATCCTCAGTTGCTAAAAGCTTGTCTTTACCTTTTCATTTGGTGATTATATATTTGAGCATTTGAAATTTATTCTGGCATGTGAAAGAAATGTAAGAGAGCTTGTACATTTGTGTTTGGTTATTTTTATCGTTCGTACGTGCCATTCATGTACCATGACTTGTGTGTTTAATTACAAAGATGTTACTACTTCCAACTGCTTGAAAATTGGCCTCTGTGTGCCAACAAGTGCTATATTTTTTACTGTAGTAAAATTAAACCATATCCAATGATAGATCGGTATACTCGTTCTTTTTGATCCATGCAACAATATAAGGACAATATGACCATATGCGGTCTGCCTTAAACCAAATATACTATGATATGTGTCGATAAATGTTCAAGAAGAGAAAATTCCTGGATATTTCATGTCAAACTGGTCTAAGTATTTGATACAGCAACTTTTTCCAGTATACATCATGGATGGAAACTTGATAGGTGCATTTGGTGGAGCAAAAACATACATTTCTCAAAGAGATCGTATATTTATGGGCCAATTTCTAGTACATTTGCAGCATCCTGCCCCTTACCATTGCTGTGGTTTTTCTAACCTGCTTTAAAGAGCCAATTATAAAGACCTGCGAACAAGGTTAAAATTGTCAAGTACTAAAACAGTTAACTTCTATGGTAGACAAAGCCCTATACAAAAACATACAAAGCAAAAAGAACGTAAGAAAAAAATATAAAAAAAAGACACACACAAATGAAATTTATATCTATATTTATATCTATATCTATATCTATCTTCTATACTATAATAAAAATATGAGTGACTTTGTAAAAAAATGAAATACCTAAAAAATCTTTAATTAGATAATTTTTTTTAATATCCGTCTTATCTTATAACTTTGATTAAATATATACATTAAAATCCTTTATTTTGACATGTTTTTATTGAAAAATTAGTAATAAGTTAATACTCATTATATCTTATAGTTTTAATTAATAACTAATATTTAATCAATTAAATCTATATATATATATAATTTCTAGCATCCAAGCATTAAATTAAACCTATTAAATTATACCTAGCTGACATTTCTAAGGGTTTCCAGCCTAAATACGTTACTGTTCACTATAATTATTATTATTATTATTATTATTATTATTATTATTATTATTATTATTTTTTTTTTTTGCAAAAACATATCAGTTTTACTTAATCCTGACTGTGTGTAATTAAGAAGGAAATCTCATTAACTTTTTCAATGATGTAGCCGTTACAAAATAATTACCAATATTCTTTTTTATCAAAAATATTTCAATAATGTATTTTATTCTATAGCTTGACTTTCTCAAAATAATTTTGAAACCATATTTTTAATGTTCAATTTATTTATTATTATTTATTAATCATGCTAAAATAAAATAAAAAATTATAATGTAAATAAAAATACAACACATTTACAATATCAATAAAATCTCAAACAAAAAATAAATTTCCTCCAGCTTTAATCTGACCCTGCAAACAAACAAGAAAAAAATCATTAGTAATTATTATTTTATTATTGATACCACATAATAGTCACAATATATCTGCCATGAATCATGCACAACAACAATGTTTTAGAAAGAAAATTAAAATATCCCTTATTTTTAGCCATTAATAAAATCCCAATCCCCAAGAAATATGCAGACTTTACAATTTTAATTGTATGGAATTAAACTCTAAAATATTGTACAACAATATAAATAAGCATTGTAATTCATTTTATTGCTCCACTAAATTTATACTCCCAAACCACATTTTTACTGTTATTCTACCAAATCACTTTCCTCACATTTTTCAATGGCTGCTAAAATTTTTGACAAACTCACCATGCTCAATGAAAATAAAGACAAAGATATACTTTTACGTTTGGTTCGTTTTTATAAAAAATGGGATTCCGAAGATCCTTCCAAAATAAAAAAGTTTTGAATTTGTCTTCCATGATTTTGAGGTATCCAACATTGTTTACCATATTTTATATTTTTTTCAATTTAATGGAATGCATTTAATCTAACATTTTTCTTTTTGATGATAGGGTGGTCGGTTTCATGCTTCAGCCCCGAGAATCTTGCATGAAAAGTTCGAAGATATAAAGTCTGAAGAAGGTCAACTCTATGCCCTAACTTGGTTCAAGAAAGGCAAGGACCACAACAAGTTCAAGACAACACAAAATTTCAGCAAATTCCTATTTTATAACATGACCAAATTGGATTTGGTTGAAGACCTTTTCTTTCCAAGAAAGGTATTCAACTTCAAGAGTTTCAAGGACTTGAACAATGACATCTTTGTCCAAACCAAGCTGTTTGGTACGTATTTAATCTTATGTAATAAATTAATAATATATTTTATTTTCAGTCAGGTTTTTTTTTTTTCCCCTAACTTTTTTCAGATGTAATTGGGCGGATTATTATGTACCAAAATGTACAAACTGCTATTTCGAGAGGGGTTGAGAAAAGAAAGATAGAAGTTCTCCTAGAAGACTTGAGGTATTATATTATTTTTATATATTTTTCATTTTAAAAAAAAGTGGGCTGAATATTATCCACAATTAATTTGTTAATTATATTGTTTAGTGGTGAACAACCTACTTGCATGTTGTGGGAGGGTTACGTGGATCAACTTATGGCAAAAAACCACTATAAATCTTCTGAACCCCGAGTTGTCATTATCCAAATGTGTCGGGCCAAAAAAGTTGAACAATGGTACATTTAAGAATTTTTTAATCAATCATTGTTCATAAATTCTTTATTTAATCATTGTTCTTATCTCAACATTTTTATCTTATAATAATTTTTTATTTTATTCAAGGTACTATTACAGTAGTCAACGTTTACGACACCACTAAAATGATAATGGGAAATGACATTCCAGAAATTATAGAATTCCAAGAAAGGTACTTAATAGAATTATTTTAGACAAATACTAATTATTCATAATTTAGTTTCTATGATTTATTTTTTATCCCTTAAAGGCACAACCTTATCCATGCCCTAGCCAATCAGGGAGCAAGATTATGAAATCTTATCTTTCGAGTGTGTGCGATGATTTGTTACTCAGAAATGCGGGTTTCCAAACAATAGAAGACTTTTGCTCTTCACATGAGGTATTACAAATTTTAGTTAATAAGTTCATCCTTATTTATGTGATTAATTAATTTTTTTTTTTTTTTACTTTTCAACCCACAATAATGTATTATATGTTTTTTTTTAATATTACATCTTTATGTGCCTTTATAGCCCATTATATCTTGGATATGCGACAATATTTTGAATGTTCATTTCGGTTGGTGGTACAATTCTTGCCCCACATGTGTTCGCAAGACTCTTAAAGAGGGAGATAAATTTATTTGTAAGTATTGCAAGGAGGAGATTCCACTTGCTATACTAAGGTTTCTGATTTATAACATTATTTATTTTTTACTAGTTTTATAGAAAATCTGGACAGAATATATTACTTATAATTTTTTAATATTTATTCTTAAAATTCAGGTATAAAATGGTTGTAACTATTGGAGACAGCACATGAATTGTCACTTTTTGTTGCTGGGACCGTGTAGCAAGAGAAATAGTCGGAAAATCATGTGATGAACTTCGTATGGAGATGATAGAGGTTCGAAAAGGTGGTCAATATAATAAATGTTTTAAATATTCAGTTCTGATTTAATATTTTGTATTTGGACAGACTAGAGATGGTTCTGAATTGCCTACGGACTTGGAGGATTTGGTTGACAAAGAATATCTGTTCAAAGTTGTGAAAAAAAAGGAACAACTTGGAACATATTCTGGTCCTTTTCAAGTCTCACGTTGCACCTCAAACCCAATTTTAATCAAAAGATTCGGTCCACTCGGACTAGCTCCACAAGTATGCAATTTATATTTAAAATTCTGAATACTTAAAAAATTATATTTAAATTTCTGATTGCATTATTTATTTGTATTAAAGGAATCTTCCTCCGAAGGTGAAGTGAACACTCAAATTAAGAAGATAAAGGATGACCATGAAGAAGTTACAAACAGTAAGCTGAAAAGAAAGCTTTTTGAAGGTGAATCCAGCAATCCAAAGAAGATGAAAGAAGAATATGAGAAAGTCGAAGGTTCCGAAGAAATCGCCGGATGAAATAATGAGTTCTAGGAAGAAAATAATTTTTCTTAAGTATGTTATTCTGAAGCTGTTTCTTAAGTTTGTTATTGTGAAGCTGAACTTCAGTTATGAATAAATAAGTTCAATTCTACTTTTTTTTTTCTTATTTTACTGTCAGTATTGGTTTTATAATTATAACAGTAACAGATATACATAGAAAATTGATATTTTGCACAAACAGAAAATCAGTCCACATAACATGCAATATTAAAAACTGAAACAATTATTTGTGAATTGCACACAGAGAAATTCACTCCACAGTTCAAGCAATATTACAAGCTGAAGTACTACAAACTGAATAATATAAACAGAGATATTCAGTCCATATTTTCTTGCAATAATAGAAAAATCTGAAAACTTAATCCAACAAAAAAATCCCTTCAGCCAAATTTTTTTTTTTTAAGATAAAAACTGAATACTTTATCAAACAAATTAGGTTTTCACCCAAGCATTTTTTTAAAGATAAAAAATGAATACTTAATCAAACAAAAAACACCTTCAGCCAAGCATTTTTTTAAAGATAAAATCTGAAAACTTAATCAAACAAAAAACACCTTCAGCTAAGCATTTTTTAATGTTAAAATCTTAAATACTTAATGAAACATAGAACACCTTCAACTAAGCATTTTTCCAATGTTCAAATCGTTTTTTAATTAAAAAAATCCTTCAGTATAGCATTTTGATTTCATATCATAAAATATAATATGTATGATAAATATAGATATATATGATTATATTAAAGTAGATAAAGATTGATATTCTATTTATTACATTACTGATTCACTCTTCTGTAATAATTCAGCTTTAAATATATATCATTATAAGTTT